TAACACTGTTGACAGATGGGCATCCAGCTTGTGAGTATTTATTTCTATATGCAAAATAAACAGAACTATTCTTCCACATGAATCCTTAAATATCCAGACTCTCCCATCCATCTTCTCTTCTGGTTGTACAGCCTACACCTGCGGTTCTAATTGGCACAGTAAGCACCATGTCAAGTAAATACTGCCACATCATCTGAAAACAGAAGGTTTTATTCTTTCAATTAAATAAACATCTAACTAAATCAACCTCTTTGTATATAAGTGACATTAAATGCTGTTAAACTTAATTTCTGAGCCCTATTCTAGTTTTTAGAAAAAGAATACTAGTATTAACTATTCGTTTTTTGTAATAAGCATGTCTTCTAAAGTCTCTTCTACTTCCTGTTAAGGAATTTTGGGAATACTTCATTGAGAACAAAACAGCCAGAGGGAATGAAAACCAAGGAAGTTAACCACCAGTCCTAGAAAACAGGAGACAAAGGCCTCATACCAATCTAAAAAGACCGTAAAAAGAACTGAAGAACAACTTCCCTTCTCACCTTATTCCTTAGCTGTCCCATAATTCCACTCCCATCCCAAACACTTTACCTTACCATAGATATCAACAAGTCTCAGAAAAATGGGAGGTCAGAGCAACCCAAAGTCAGCAGAAAACCAACTCTTGGGACAATTGCCAATCACCTAATTTGAGCATCCACAGAAACAACATAAATCCCTAAAAAATGAGAGAACATCAACATCTATTCTAAGAGTTATTTGAAATCTTTCCCCCAAAACAAACCCTGCATTAATATGTTAACATCTCAATTAACAAAAAGAATATATCATACCATCTTCTCTGCTGTCAAAATCTACAATAAGCAGTAAAAGTAAATTACAAAGATGGGTCACCTCTTTCAGGACATGGTATAAAGAACACTAAATAAGTTGTTAGAATTTTGGACTCTTACTGACCATATGATGGCTTTCCCTGCCATCAGGGAAATCACTTTACCTCTGTGCCTCAATTTCCTTACATGCTCTAGGCAGGTATGGCCAACCCACGGCCCATCGGCTGCATGTGGCCCAGGACAGCTGGTAATGCAGTACCACAAAATCTTTTAACATCATGTGCTTTTTAGTGTTTACTTTCTTCATGATCCCTGTGCGTAATTCCATTTTTGAAGTTCACATTCACGCCATATTCATGACATTGCTTTTTGGCAGCATGTACATTTGTGGGTAGCTGTTTTCAATTACGAAGCACACGAAGAACAAAATTTGAACAAACATTTCTTTTTTTTGAGTTGGAGTCTCACTCTGTCGCCCAGACTGGAGTGCAGTGGCCACTCCCGGCCACCTGCAGCCTCGACCTGCTGGGCTCCGGTGATCCTTCCGCCTCAGCCTTCCACATAGCTGGAACTACAGGTACGCGCTACCACACCTGGCTAATTTTTTGATTTATTGTAGAGATGAGGTCTCGCCTGCCCAGGCGGGTCTCGAACCCGCGGGGTCAGGCAATCCACTCAAGGCACGGGATTACAGGCTGAGCCACGGAGTCTGGCTTGAACAAACATTTCTAATGAGCACCTTATAAGAACTGCAACCACTTTCACTGAACCAGACACATCGATAGATTAGTTTTACAAAAACAATGTCAAACTTCCCACTAGTTTTATATTGTTCTCGTTTTTCTAAATTTTATTAATAAATATGTATAAAAAATAAGCCTTATTTTATATATATATATATATACATATATATACACTAACTATACTATATAACTCATGTGTGGCCCAAGTCAATTCCTCTTTCAGTGCGGCCCAGGAAAGTCAAAAGTTGGACACCCCCATCTAGACCTTCTACAAACAGAGGTTCTGTACAACAGAACACCTGCACAAATATTATCAGTTATAAAAATACAATGAAGTAACAGCTGAAAATGTTAAATGACTACCAGTGAAGTATACGCAAACTAAATGAAGAGTCTCTAAATGACCACTCAGTTCCTTCACGTTATGATTGAGGAATAGGTGAACGGGAAACAAGGGGATACAGATACCCAACAAGATGACCGGAAGGAGATCGCTACCTCTGAAGGGCAAAAGAAAAAGGGACAGACAGGAGTTCTCTGCTGCTATTATATGACCTTTCATCATAAATAAATAAGGATAACAAAAGAAAGAGTGGGTGGAGGTATTCTGGCTTCCAGTAAAGTCAAGGTTAGCAAGGAACCCTACTACTGGGTAAGAAGATAAAGCCACAATAGATCAATCGCCATTGTGTTCTACAAACAAAGCTAACACCAGCACCAGGTCCAAGGAATGCTCACTGGATAGGTATCACTGTACCCTAGTATAAATGTGTAATAGCTGGACTGAAAATCAGAGAGACTCAAATCCTAATCCCAGAGTCTTGTAACTCAAGCAATATAAACGTGTTAAATAATTTTGGGGGGAAATTTATCTAAAAATTAGGAAAAGATAATCTCTACATTCCTTTCTTCAGACTGTAACATTTTTATTTTACATATGTACAGTTGTAAATCCATAAAATCTCATCCACTTATGTCAGGTGCCAAAATAAAGATGCCTCCCATACACACATTTATAATCAATAACACAGATCCTGAAGATAACACTATATTAGAAGCTATAGAGTAAGACACGGCTTAAAAATACAGAAAATTAAGTAAAACACATCAAATTAATACTAATCAGACCAAGTTTCAGAGAGAAAAGATTGATCACTAGCATCACTGTTATTTAGTCTATCACTTAAAAAATATATTCATATTTACCCTGATAAGACTGAAGTTGTAAATAATGACTTTCTTGGTCTTTAATTCTTAAATATAGTAAAGAAGAATGAGAGATACATGAAAAGGAAAGTCAACTTTTACTACCAGCAGCCCTTCTTAAAAAGTCCTTCTGGGACAACCCTCCTGGGTCCCCTCCCGCTCAGGGAGTTTTTCTGTCCTCTCAATAAATCCTGCTTTCAAAAAAAAAAAAAGAAAAAAGTCATTCTGCTCATTTCATCTTACAAAAGTATGTACTTAAAATCAGCACTTAAAAATCTTTAGCAGGATTACATGGGGAAAAAAAGGAAATGATTATTCTTTAAAATACATATTTTGGTCTTATTTTCTGATACAAGTAAAATGAACACTTTATTAATTTCACGTTAGACTTTTAACTCCAAAGTAATATTACTGACAACCTTTAAGAAAATATTAAATGTTAATATTTTGATATCTACCAACTCATATTAAACGAAACAATTCCCCCATTTAAAAAAATTCCAGCCATTTTGCTCACATTTGACAAGCCACCACAGAAGATCTTCCAAATTAGCTTTTAATTGACAACTTGTATTTTAAAATGGACAACAATGGCTTCATTAAAAATGAAGAATCTTTCTGAAATCCTCAAAATTAAGTTAAGCCTGCATATTATTCTTCACAATTAATCATAGTAGGCAAAATTTTTAGAAATTTTTCCTCCAACTACCCTTCCTTTAAAATAAACGCAAAGTGTAAAGAGCCATTAACGTTCAGTAAAAATCCACTCAAGGGCAGAGAATGCCTATGGGAAAGCCTGCTCTAAACTCCAAAAGACAAAATTAACATTCACATCTCTGTTATCAAACATGAAAGGTAGTAAAGAACATTGAAAAGATGGTATGTCCGAAGTCCTGGGTTCTGGCTGCCGGTTCTGCCACTAAGTAATAAATAAAGTGCTCTATTTATAGCCTGACTTTCTCATTAGTAAATAAAGGGAAATTGTAATGATCTGTAAGGCCCCATGTCAACTCTAAGTAGGTCAAGGTTCTTATGGTTAAATTTTTAGCTACTTGAAAACAGGATCAGAAAACTGATTTTAGCCCCCCCTTTCCCACAAGACCATCCTTTGTCAAGCAAAGCTTGAGTCTTATTTTCATATTTTCTGCCAACAAAAAAAGAAATAAATAACAAATAAATAAAAGAAGACATATTTAGTGTTTGTGCATCTTCTAATCAGACACTATTAATCATTTCTTTTAAAATTAAATTACCTACCTCACTGGGGTGTTGTGAGGATTAATTCATTAGTGTTTGTAAAGCACTTTGAGATCCTCAGGTCAAAGGCGCTATAGAAGTGCAAAGTAGTAGTATTATTACTAGATTCTTTGCTTATTTAAGGAATTTCACAATCCTTTCAAACCTAACTCTGTGTTATGATTTAGACATCTATTTGTAAAACTCTGAAATTTATCCACATTAACTCTTTTTGAATATATTATAAATAGACAGGGGCAGGATGTTTCAAAACAAATTATTTTAATGGTTAAACTCTGATCTACAAATGGAGGGAGAGATTAAGAAAAAAACCCAGTGTGATACATTTTGTTTAGCATAAACTTTTTGTGAGAAATCTGGTCAATCTGATTTAGAAGTGTGCCTAAGTCGTAAGAAAAATAAAACAAAAATCCACTTAAATTGCAGATTCTGCAGTTTTCTCTTTCTTCAAAGAGAAAAGAGAATTTTCGATCAACTCACTTTAAAAGCTAGCACTGCATTAACAAATTACATGCATATACATGCAAACTGTCGCTTAAACCTTTGTATTTAAATCTCTGTGGCAGTATTAGTATGAACTCACACCAAAATAATTGAGCAGCTTTTTTCTTTCAACTAGCCTTCCATCCCAGTTACACAAAGCAATCTAAGCATTGAGAAGAGGTCAAAGCAACTTTGCTTTATAGAGTTTTAAAAGAAAAAGTATAACTGAGGACCAAAGCTTCAAAACCAGTTAAAATCTTGGCTTATTCCACCACTTTCCACCCCCTTCTCTAACCAAATATTTTTACAATTAAAGAGTTTTAAAACCAAAACAACACGCATACATGTACACACACGTACACATACAAAGCTAAGGAAACCAGAGCTATCTACATATTCCACCATCCTCTGATGAGATGCTCCAGTGCAACACACGCTCTATTCCCAAGGTCAAACTCGTTTTTGGATATTAAACACTTACCTCCTGCTCCTGCTGAAAGATGACGACTCTACCACCTTTATCTCCTGTTGCTAGCAATTCTCCAGAATGATTAAATTCTACTGTAGAAATTATATCTGCTGTATAATTGAAACAAAACAAAAAGACATTAGTATTCTTTCCCAACTCTCTAAATTTCAGAACTTAGCATGTTTTTCCTAACACTCCAAGTCTATGCAGTATATTAGCTTGACATGAGAAATAAAGTGAGTCTGAAATTCTTCTATATAAATATTTTGATACACCAGAAAAACTCCTCAGAATAAACCAGTAGGAAACTATTTTAACAAACGGGAACAAGCAAAACAAATAAGAAATACTAGTAGTCTATTAGTATTTCACTAAATTTTTGAATGCAAGAAACATCAACAATTTGTGAAACACTCTGATAGCACCCTTAAACAAAATCTTCTCATATATATTTTTGATAAGCTTGCTTATGCAAATCCAAATAACCATCTACAATTAAGGTATATATTACTAAAGGGAGGGCTTAAATGTAAAAAATAGTTTCAGAAGGTATTCTAAGTCATAAATTCAACTAATGACCTCACAACACACTTAAACCAGAAAAGTTTTGTGCTGTGCACCTCCCCTGTGCACAGCTCCTGTGGCCCCCGACACTGCAAGGGGCTACCAGGATCAGTTATGTTACACTGATTCTACCCAGTCAGTGCTGATTCCATAGTCAAGAACAAATAAAACGGTCAGATTTATTCAAAGCTTTTTGATACCAGAGCCTAAGGAAAGAGTCTAAGTTACAGCAGTGGGCATAAGATAAAGCCATCATACTGCACAATTCACCACGGTGTTATTAACAAGTTCTTCAGCATAAAGCATTAAGCTGAATTGGAAGAGGCCCCATCAGATGCATTTTAAATAAGTAAACTTTTTCTGTAAGAGAATAGCAGTTCTTATGGTCTGGAGTAGCTTGCTGTTAAGAATTTAAGCATGTAGCTAGGAGGGTGGTTCACGCCTGTAATCTCAGCACTCTGGGAAGTCATGCAAACACTACTCTTTCCAGGTGTACCACGACATGCAAAAAGTGAAGAAGCAAAGTTCTGAAAATAGGGGTCCCATATCCTGGCGTACCCAAACAAAGTTTCTATGTTTGTGGAAAATAATAATAAATCTACTCCTAGAAAATATTCTTCTAATGTTCTGATTCCTATATGTAGCTAGTGGCTACCATACTAGACAGCACAGGTCTAAAACATTTTACTAAAAATCCAAGAAAGCTGGGACTAAGAATTCCGAATCTTTAAACAATGCACTCTTACACACATACACAAAAGGACTGTTGCCAAGGAAGAGCAGGCTGAAAAGAAGTTATGAAGATTCCTTGTCTACTAGTTTTAAAACAAACTATTAATGAAAAGTATGAGTACTTGTAAATGCTCTACTCTTGAGCTTAAAGTAACTATAGCATGTTTTTAGGAAGCAAAAACAACATCATCACTGTCAAGACTAGAATACTGAATGTGTGCATGGCCCAGGATGGCACATCAACCGGTTATGTTCTCACAAACCACCATCAACAAGATGCCAAAGAACAAAACCTTCCTCTTTTAAGAGGAAAAGGATATTTCCTATTACCACGAAAAGTTATTTTTCAATGAGAAAACATTAATATTAGGGAAGAAAAATTCTAACATAGTTAATTTTAAAAAAGGACTCCCTTTCAGAACATTAGTTCATTGCCCTATGGTGCATTAAAAGCCATACTCAAACTTTTGGTAAGAAAATATAATGCTGTTAAATTTTATTTATATAATATTAATACAAGCCAAGGCATCGATAATTTATAATATAGAATAAAACTCTTATTTATTCCAATCCCCTCTTTCTAAATTGTCAACACCCGGGTTTCCCCCTTAGAAGATGATGCTGGGCTCGGTGGCTCAGCCTGTAATCCCGTGCCTTTGGGAGGCTGAGGTGAGTGGATTGCCTGAGCCCGCGGTTTCGAGACCCGCCTGGGCAGTAAGACCTCATCTCTACAATAAATAAAAAAATCAGTCGGGCATGGTAGCGCATGCCTGTAATTCCGGCTACTTGGAAGGCTGAGGCAGAAGGATCGCCAGAGCCCAGCAGGTTGAGGCTGCGGTGGCCGGGAGCGGCCACTGCACTCCAGTCTGGGCGACAGAGTGAGACTCCAACTCAAAAAATAAATAAATAATTAATTGGATACTGATATTAAAATATCAAACAGGGTTTGTGTGGATTCAAAGACGTCAAATTAACGTCAAAGCACAAAATGTACAGAGATATGTACAGCCATCCTGTGCCAAGCACTGTGCTAAGTAAGCATTAACACATATCCTCATTTAATCCCTAGCACCACGATGATAAACACATCATTTCCAATTTACAAGAGAGTAAGGGAGGTCCTGACAGATTAAGCTAACTGCCAAGGAAACTCACACAGCCAGATTGTCAGAGCCAGGATTCAGATCTGGGCAGTGTGAACCACCGAAGAGATAAGGTGGCAACACAGAATTCTAAAAATCACCGAATAATGAATAAAGGGATAAAGTATAAATACTCAGCTCACTGCCTCTATCTCACTTTCAAAATACCCGTGTTTAGAGGCAAACTATCAACTTTATACTATTTACTAATGACAATGTTACAATTATTGCCTGGCTTTAAGGATTTATGCAGCACCAGCTGCATTCAAGGCACTGGGTGATACACATTCTAAATTCTACCCACTAACATGGCTGGTCAGAAAAAGAACTGTAATCACAAAAGACAAACAGTTAACCAATAAGTATTTAGTAAGTGCTTAAGAAAACCAAAGGAGGAGTATAAGAAAAATAAACATACTAAATGAATTATAAGACATAAAGACCAATTAAATAGGTAGATGCCTCCTCTTTTTAAAAAAAATAAAATACGGGGGGGGATTGATAAAGTATTTTTAACCATCTGAACAACAGATTCCTAAAAGCTCTATTTGAAACGGTTAACTAGGATCTCCTGAATGTGACAAGCCTGATTCTGTTATTCGTCTTAATATAACTAGGCTCTGAAGCTAAGTAACAAGAATTTAAAAGGCTCAAACTCATAAAAGACTGTAAACATCGCTGCAGCAAACAAGCACCTCTGAAAATCCAGATATATCTGCCTCGTGCAACACAAAACAGCATAAATCTTAAGAAAAGATAACAAGTTTCCAAACATTCTACGAATAACCATTATTTCTTAAAATTCTGCATTCTGAATACTGTCACAGAAGGGACTGCGTTGGCAGACAGGGCAGGATCTGCAAACACCTGCTACAAGAGCAGTTCCCAATATAGCCTCCTAATAAAGGAATTCGACTTTCCTGTCTGAAAGAAATTGCACTGTCAGGTTAGCTACATGGAGTCTTATCTTTCCACAAATGATATTCAATTTCTCACAAAGCTTTACCAGGTCATTAGTTTCCTCTACTTTTTGTTATATTTCAGTAAAGAAAGATTAACAAAGAATACTAAGACCACATAAACAAAGGTATCCTGACAAAGTACCCAATAAAAATGTATAATCACTGGTACTTCTTTCAACAGGTTGAAGTGAAGGACAAAAACCAGAATTAAGAATCTGATAATTAAGCCGGGCTCGGTGGCTCAGCCTGTAATCCCACGCCTTTGGGAGGCTGAGGTGAGTGGATTGCCAGAGCCCGCGGGTTCGAGACCTGCCTGGACAGGCGAGACCTCATCTCTACAATAAATCAAAATATTAGCCGGGTGTGGTGGCGCACGCCTGTAATTCCGGCTACTCAGAAGGCTGAGGCGGAAGGATCGCCGGAGCCCAGCAGGTCGAGGCTGCGGTGGCCAGGAGCGGCCACTGCACTCCAGTCTGGGCAACAGAGTGAGACTCCAACTCAAAAAAAAAAGAATCTGATCATTAGTCTTCTGTTTCTGGCCACAAGGGAGCAAGACAATCTGAATTCACTGTCCTGCTGCAATGACTAAAAAAACAGAACAATGCCAGGCGTGGTGCCTCACTTTGGGAGGCAGAGGTGAGAGGACTGCCGGAGTCCGCTGGTTCAAGACCAGCCTAAGTAACACAGTAAGACCTTTTCTGTACCATAAATCAAAAAATTAGCCAAGCAGGTTGACACATGCCTGGAGTTCCAGCTACTTGGAAGGCTGAGGCAGAAGGATTGCCTGAGTCCAGCAGGTCAAGGCTGCAGTGGCTGTGAGCGTGCCACTGCACTCCAGCCTGGGTGACAGAGTGAGACTATGACTCAAAAAAAAAGGGAACAAAATATATGAAAACAACTGCTTTTCAGACAACAGACAACACTGAGTACAGGATAGCGAACCTTAGAGAAGGAAAAGAAAGTGAGCCCTACATTTGCTCCAGCTTACTAACTCAAAGTTTCCGGGACAGCACCATCAGTCAGGAAGAATCCAGAGACCAGTAAGCTCCCTGAGTTGTGGAGATAGAAACTGGGAGTTATGGAAAGCCAAAGCAGCCAGAATTTGTAGGAAGAATACCCTAGAGGAAGGACCCACACAGAAACTGCTTAAAATCTTTGGCAGAATACTGGACATGTGTGGAGTGATAGTTCACAAGGCCTACGAAAAATCACCAGAAAGCTTAGAAGGGCCCTGAATAGAAAGGGTTCCCGCCAGGTGGAGTATAGAAACCTCATAATTAATGCATCAGATAGAATTCTCAGAAGAGTATCACCTTAGCGGAGCTAATCAGCACTAAAGACCAAACTTGTCCTAACAAAGTCTTTTCAGAACTTTGAAAGGATCAAATCAATGCCAAGTAACTTATCTATGTGACAGAACAAAATCCAATACTCAACAATGTAAATTCACAATGTTTGCTTCTAACTGAAAACTACCAGGAATATACACAAGCAGGAACATGCGACCCATAATCACAAAAAATAAATAAACCAGTACAAACAGAACCAGAAGCGACAAAAATGATGGAATTAAGGTCCTATCAAGCATGACTATTTACATATGCTCGATATGCTCAAGAATAATAAGTCATATACATGAAAAATAGAAGACAAGAAAGAAATATCTAAGAGTGAAAAATACACTGAGATAAAAGATACACAGGATAGGAC